AATTTCTACCTCTTATTATAGTGTGTGCTTCCGGAGGGGCACGCATGCAAGAAGGAAGTTTGAGCTTGATGCAAATGGCTAAAATATCTTCTGCTTTATATGATTATCAATCAAATAAAAAGTTATTCTATGTACCAATTCTTACATCTCCTACTACCGGTGGGGTGACAGCTAGTTTTGGTATGTTGGGGGATATCATTATTGCCGAACCCAATGCCTACATTGCCTTTGCGGGTAAAAGAGTAATTGAACAAACATTGAATAAAACAGTACCCGAGGGTTCACAAGCGGCCGAGTATTTATTCCAGAAAGGCTTATTCGATCTAATCGTACCACGTAATCCTTTAAAAAGCGTTCTAAGTGAATTATTTCAACTACACACTTTCTTTCCTTTGAATCAAAATTAGAACATTAAGTTCAATTATTTTGAGCAAACAAGTAATTAGTTTATCGGAATCCAAGTTAAAATTAGACGAATGGGGTTTTCTTTGTTGGCATAAGATCTAATTATATAAAGAATCAAAAGTCACAGAAAATCCGCCCCTTTTCTATATTCCTGATTATTGATCAAGAAGCCTCTATTAACAAGATAAAAGATGAAATTCTTATTTTCGTGAAATTAGGCAAATCAAAAAAATATACTCTTCTCGTCATATATAATGAAAATCTATAAAATATAGAAAAATCTACTTATAACAAAAAAAAAATCAATCCAAATATTATGTATCAAACAAGAAAAACAAAGCAAGTCTAACTCAGTATTAAAGACAACAATTAACATACATATATAAAAATCTAGTACATATATCTCGAGGCATAAAATTATTACAACAGTCGTAGTAGTTCCATGGGTTGCTTCCTCTGCGGCTTCCTCTACTGCCTTGCATGATTTCTGCCCAACGATATTGCATATTGCATACTTACATATCTCCCGACATGTCCTCTCCCCATGAAGTTGGGTATGCACATCCCATAGCCATGAAATATTAGGGCTGGCAAAATTGTACCATGGAAAACCAACCAAAATGTTACCAACCGAACCAAGAAACTTGGTAGCCAATATATTTAGTAGCCAACATGTTTGGTTGGTAGTACCGTACCAATTGATCATTATTGGTACGGTAATACAAAAATTGGAATACCATGGTAATATCGTACCAACCAATTCATTTGATATATATATATATATATATATATATATATATATATATATATATATATATATATATTTCAACTGTTAATTGTATTTAGTGTTTACAGTTTTAATAAAATTATATTAGTCATTTGGTCGTATTAGTCAATAGTTATTACCATGTTAAAGCACAATATTAAAACGTTACTTTAGCGTTACTTTAGCGTTACTTCAGTAGAATTATTTTGTATACAAAAAGAAGTCCGTAACTAATTTCTATACTACACATCAAAACCCTGATGTATTTGCTTATTTTTAAATATTACAATAGAAAATTAAAAGAAGTTGGTATATATCATTACCAATTTGTACGAACCAAACTTGTTGGTAGCCAAATAAATTGGTACCAAGTATACTTGGTACGGTACTGGTAGCAATTTTTTTTTATATCAATTATAGTTGGTACGGTACACGGTTTAGAGAAAAATGAATTGGTACCGTACCAATCCCACCCCTATGAAATATAACAAACAAAATTATTAAAACAAACATAATTATTAGATGACTTTTTCTTCTTCTTATTGACAACCAAAATCAAAATATAAATCGAGAAGGGAAGAAATTGAGAGCAAAAAGGAAAAGAAAGGGAAGAGTGGTCGAGACTTGTGATGGTTCGGCTAGGGTTTGTGGCTAGGATACCCTTAAAAAACTAAATACATACATAATCATGCTTTGTTCCTCATTGACTCTTTATCTAATTTTTGATCTCTGACTTCATGGTAAAACACATGTTAGCACTTGTCACCTTTGATTTCTACTTTATTTGGTATATTTGATTTGTTAGTACGACAACAAAAATAATTATCGAGCTTGTGTAAGAATACTCCCTCTTCACTATAGACGCTGGTCATACTGGATGTGTCACGTACATACCGTGTTTTTGTATGTGAGTATTCTTATTTTCTTCCTACCAAGCGGTATTAGTGCTATGTTTTGGAATATAAGTTGAGGAGATGTCCCAAAAATTCAAATCAAAGAATTCCAATGGATCGAAGGAATTCTATTTGTGGAAAGTGAAGATGAGGGATCTTTTGGTTCAATTGGGTTGTTTGATGGCTTTGGAAGGAGAAACCAAATTTTCGAAAGACATGGTTGATATTGTTGGGTTTTTATTCAAAAATCTAGTTTTACAACTAGAAAATTGACAACGAAGGTTTAATATTGAAGAAAACTAAAAACTATTTTACCTACCAATGATCATTTTGCAAGAGTTAGAAAGATTTAAACAACCATAGAAGGGAAATCATAACAACCTTTTAAGACTTTGATCCTCATGGGAGGTTGGAAGTTGATGAAATGTGGCATGAAACTCTAAAACAAGAGTTCTCTACAAGTATCCACCAAGCAAGAGTAGAACCATCAAAACATGCTAGTATTCACTTGTAATTTGTTGTTCATAAGCCTTTGAAATATATACCAAATATATGTTCAAAGGTGAAGCAACAAATGGACATTCTTTAAACATCAAAATGCAGGAGAATGGTGGAGAAGGGAGAGTCAAAACTTTCGAAAAATGGCAGTCCTCTTAGAGAGCATATAAATCTCGGTTTTGGCTCCCCAAATACCACAAAGGATTGCTTGCAAGAACTCTTCTCTAATCCTTCCATACCTTAGCTTTTATACTAGCCAAAAGCTATTAAAGTACCTTACATATAGTAAGTCAAAGTATGGCTAATGGAGACAAGTATGCATGAATAGAATAGACAAGGCATGAAGAATAGACAAGGCATGCATGCCTTGTGTCATTCTAATTTCGGCCTTGTGGTTAATGTATGGAACCAAAGTATGTTCCATTATCATTTGACTAGTTTACACATGTATAAATATATATACCAACTTTATATAAAAGGCTATCATCTGTATAAAGTGATTTATATATTCAAACAACTAGTCCTTAACCACAAGGCCAAAATTAGAATGAGACAAGGTCCAATCATGTGTTAATTCCAAAACTTCCTCTAATATTAAAAGTTAGAACTATAAGGAAAAAGGGCACGAAAAATGTATTGCCACAACAAGGAAAAAGGGAATTTTCAAGGCTAAAACGAATACTAATAAAAGTGCGATTGTGGTTCAAGAAAGTTCAGACGAAGGAGACATAGTCAAAATTTTGGCAATATGTACGTCTAGTTCTAGAGATGCTTGGATCTTAGATTGATGTGCATCTGTCCATGTGACATGTACTCATGATTGGTTCAAATATTTTAAATAATGAAATTAAACTGTGAAGATGGGTGATGAAGGGATGTAGTGTATCAAGGGCAGTGGCATAATGCTTATCACAATGCATAATGGTATGGTTTGAAAAATCGATTGTTGGTGCATTCTTGATCTTCAGAAGAACATGAAATCTCTTGGAGCATTGGCTAAGAATGGTTTGAGGTATTCTAGTGAAGATGACATGTTAAAAGTCTGTAAAAAAGCTCTAGTAGTTATGAATGAACAATATAACACATAATTTGTTTTTTAAGAAGGCTGCATAGTTAGAGGAAAGGTGGTTGGATCTCAAATTCAGAAAGAGTTATATTATCAATGATTTGGGGACATGAGAGAGAAGGGAATGTCAATCTTTGATGGAGAATTAATTAGAGAAGTCAAATTCAAGAAGCTTATATCAAAGGAAACCAACAAATGGTGAAGTTCAATTCTGGTCAGCACATAAGCAAAAAAATCTTGAAATATGTTCACTAAGATTTGTGGGATCCCTTTTCAATGAAATCTCATGGTGAATGCTAATACTTTTGTGACATGCGTTGATGATTTCATGTTTTAGTAATGAATATGAAAGATGACATGATTTACTTTGAAACTTTGGCTAAGCATGGGTTGAGGTATTCTAGTGAAGATGAGATGTTAAAAGTCTGTAAACGTGCTCTAGTAGTTGTAGTTATGAAGGGACAGACGCAACACATAATTTTTTTCTAGAAGGTTGCATAGTTTGCTTCCGCATTATACTATGAATATGTAATTGTGACATAAAAATGATTTCTTATTTTAGTAATGAATATGAAATAAACCTTTTGGTCAAAGCTATACTTTGATTTTGAAAATTTTATGGTTGAAATTTTGGGATATTACACATTTCTCTTGTTAGGTCTGGTTGTAATATCCTACCTGTTAGTAATTTCTCAGATATGTCACTAAGTTGGCATGGCATATATTTGATCTTGGTTAGATAGTCCTAGACGTTGCCCTTCTTGACGGATTGTTATTGTTCATATATGTTTCCTTCTTCGGATGGTTGGAAGCATTCCAGTAGTTGTTCTTTTAGTTTTACTCGTGAAGGAAATAGCTTCTGATTATGGCTCCATTGATTCCATGACAGGTCTCTCCTTCTAAACAAATGACAGCTACCCACAATTGGTCTCATTCTCCAATCCTTGGATGTTCGAAAAAGTGCTATGCTCTATAAATCCAACAAAACGCATCATCCCCTTGAAAATTGGTGCCTTCAGTTTTCGAAACTCGTCTCCGCCATGACCCATCCCCTTAGGTTTGTCGTTTCAGGGTTGTCTTTTTAGTCAAGTTACTACATCTTGACTAGTAACTTCTATCATCAAAAGAAATGTAGACATGATTGTATTAAAAAATCATTGAAATATTGCAATTATTGGTCAAATACGTAAGTACATTGTTGGCACTAGGAGTGAAGTATGTTGCTATTCTAAACCATTTTGCGTTTTTTCCATTTTCTTTATTTTATAAATGACTAATGTATTAAATATGGGTTTGTATTACATGCCATCATCCAAGGGCTCTATAAAAACTTATACTCACTTATATATTTGCTTATGTAAACGAACATTCATTTTTATGATTTTTGATGTAAAGTAAGTATTGGGAATATGTGGTACAAAGACTGTGTTTGGCGTACCACAACTAGCTGGTAAGCTAACTTATTTTTCGATTTTTTTTATGTTGTCGTGTTTGGCAAACTAAAAAATAGCTTATAAGTTAGCTTTTTAAAAAGTTACTTAGACTAGCTTTTTAGGAGTTTTTTTTTTAATTTTTTTTAATTTTTTATTTTCCAAATATACCCTTAATTAATTATAAAAGCACATTCTGTTAAATGTCTTTTTATGTAATTTTATATCTTTCAGCTAGTTTTATCAAACGTCATTTTTTATCACCTAGCTTTTTAGCTATCATGTAGTTTTTTATTTAACAGCTAGCTTTTCACATATCAATTAGCTTTTCAGCTAACAACTAGCTTTT